GGGGTTGAGTCACATGACTATGGCCTAGTTGGGAAAGGCAGAATGCTCAGCTCTTCTTCTTTTTTTTTTTTTAAGGATTATTTTTTATTTATTTATGCATACAAGAACTAGGATGTAGAGCAGAGGTGTGTGGCATGAGAGGATTCACCAGAGTAGGGACCAGAACAGGCAGATCTACTAAATGCACTGCTGAGGGGAGCAGCAGGCAAGACAGGAGAGGTCTGCTGTGCCATGTGGGTCAGTGCCATGGCCAGGGATGGAACTCATTGCTGCAGAGGCTGGCAATAGCTTGATAGTGCTGAGACTTAATCCCTTGCGCCACCAGGAAGGCCCCAGAATGCTCAGCTTTTCTAAAGAGACGTGATCTTTGAATCCCACTAACATTTGTAAAGCACTACCAAAATAATACAACATCTGATAATAAATGTGTATTCCTTCTGAGACTCAATTCTGTCCCTAGTTTACTGTTTATCATGTATGTGGGCCCTGACAAATCATTACCAGACTCTTTGGCAACACTTGGATTAATTTAATACTTGTCTATCCAGATCTTGAAATTCTGGCACTCCTGTTTTTCTCTCTCTCCCATTTTCTCTCTCTCTTTAAATTCTTCCTCAGCCCGCTGTTTCTTTAGTAGATAGGTGTGTGAGACCTAATATTTCATTCAGTCAATTAGTAGGTACAAAACCTTGCAAATTTCACTTGATATGAATCTTATATATTTGATTGGCCAGCAAGTAATCGCTGATAATAAATCTGAAGGAAATGAAATGCTTCAATTAAACCAAACAAAATAGAACCAACCAGGAGAAATTTTTTAGCTATGTGCATAGATAAATTTTCATACCTCGTAACAAAAAATTAGAAATTGTTTTAAATATTGATTTAAAATGCTCAAAAGCTTTTCTCCATTTTGGCTATAGCTACTATGATTTATCTGTATAAGTAACTCTGAAACATTAAGTTGTGGAGGGTATGAACTGAAACTGCAACATGTATCCACTGAAAGGTGTTTTTACCAATTGACCATTCAGTCAGTTAAATTTGTTAGTGTTACCTTAGTTCTGTGAATTTCCTGAGTTGGGTTTTGTTTTTATTTTTGCTTGTTTTGTGTTTATTTTTAATAAATAACTTCAGCTTTGCCAGGCTTGGCTTACAGAATCAGATTGCAAGAGTCTATAATTTTGGTGAGGTGAATATTAGAACATTTTTTCTTCTACATTGGGTATGAGAAGTAATAATATGTAAAATCATTCCCTTTATAACTTACCTCTTTATTATTTCAAGTCACCACAAATACCCAGTTTTTACATAATTCCTGTCTTCTGTGGTAGAAAAACACATAGAAAGTCCTTGAGATAATACAAACCACACAATGTACTATTTCTTTTTTTAATAAAGATATTTTCTTTTTTTTAAAGATTTATTTATTTATGCATACAAGAGCTGGGGTACAGGCCAGAGATGCGAGGGGTGAGAGGATTCACCAGAGACAGAGTGGGGAACAGAACAGGCAGATATGAAATACACTGCTAAGGGGAGCAGCAGTTGAGACAGGAGAGGTCTGCTTTGCTCCCTGGCCGGCTGGGGTTCGAGCTCATGCTGCAGAGGCTGCAGATTGCTTCATAGTGCTCCCTTGCACCACCAGGGAGGCCCCACAATGTACTATTTCAAGACAAGATGTCATGTCCATATCCAATATCCATGGTGAGCTTATATGTGGCCTCCTTTCTACATAAGGCCTCTGCACCTGTGTGTGTATGGCCTCTCTGTGCACCTGTGTGTGTGTGAAAGATTTGGATGAGGCACCTGCATGACTGCCCTGAGACAATGGCCCCATATCACAAAGTGACCGGGAACACCTACGTAGCCGTTGACTGATTGTGTGGTTAGGGTTTGAGATGGTCTGGGAGTAGCTTGGAAATTATACCAAGCCCCTGTGTGAAAGTTCTCCCTGTATATGTGGCCAGCATGGCCCTTCCTGCTTCCATAAAGGTGATCACCCTTTGTCTCCCCTGGACCCTGCTTCTGCTACCATTGTCACATAATCAATCATGCTTGTTCACTTTTACTAAATAAACAGCAAGATCTCTGCTCACTCAGTAGCAGAATCTTGCCTTGCAAGCCTGCTCCATGACTCTCTCTCAAGAGTGCCTCCAGAGCGTGCTGGCATGTCCTCAACCACCAGAGTTGGTGCCCAAACTGGGACATCCTGGTAAAGGGACTTATCAGGGCCAGGGGCACTTGGCTGTTCCTTGAGCCGGTGGAAGACATAGGACATCCCAATCAGCTATCCAGTAGCCCTATAGACCTTTGAGTCTGCGACAAAACGGTAAGTGTTGTGTTCCCTCGCTATCATGAGTCGTGTCTTTTTCTTTTCCTGTTTTTCCCTTGTACCTGTCCAAACATTTCATTTCCTTTTCTACCAGGTCTGTTCTCTCTGCCGCCAAAAAATTAATGGTGGGTATGGGTCGACCATTTAAAGAGCCAAAAGCGCTGGTTGCCTCCTTCCAGAAGACTCCTATTACAGGATTAACTGGTACCATGACCTGATAAAGAAGATAAACCCCACCCTCCAGTATGAAGGCAAAGTCCCGTCATCATATGACGGACCTCTGTCTCCGAAGACAACAGGCACCTACACCACCTAGAAGCCCGTTGGGGATATCTAGTGGTTCTGCTCTCTCTGCCCATTTAGCTGCCATCAGTGCTACAAATGGTGTAATACAACAACAGCTGTTTACTTTGTATGAATAAGGAAAAAATAAATACAACTATGCACAGTGAATTATGAATTCACTTCCTCTACTGTCATTAATTATGTGGAAATTACATGGAAAATATGCACTCAATTATGGTAAATACATTTTAATCCAAACACTTGTGTTTTTCTTAAAATGAGGATATAGTTATCTATTTTAACTAGCTTTTCATGAGACATCTATTTAGATGACATTTTCAGTATATTTTGGAATGTTGTTAATACCAGACCTACTTGTATGGAATGCAAGATTAACAACATTCCTGAAAGCATAGAAGAAACTTGTCATTCATATGTTGTTATAAAAGCAGCATTATTATAAGAGCAGCAGATGTTAGAATCTCCAGCACTAGCATTAGTAAGCTAATCACTTACTACTTTCTCATTCAAAAATTCATTATCGCTGTTGAATATTTTAGATCAATAAAAATTGCCATTGTCTGAAAGGATGCTACACAATATTATCTATTAAAATACAATTGCTGTTTTCTGAATACCTAAGGCCAAAATGTGGGACTTCCACTCTTCTCCCCCAATGTGAGAATTCTTAGTATTTTTATTATGGTATGATTTATGATAATGGAGAGAGAATAAAACAAGATTCATGTGTTTTCAAAGCTCATTTTTAATTTAATCTTTTAAAACACCTCTTACTCAGAACAGAAATCAGCAAGTAGCTATTGAAAAAAGTATAGCATCAGGAGAGAGAAAACAAGTTGTTCCTGCTACTCTGTTGGCTATGGGTTATTTTCTGATCCAGTTAGAGGCTCTAGAAAGTGAGTTATGGTAGACTCATTAGGGAGATTATAGAAATCCAACTTGGAAAAAGGGGTAGAGTTTTATTGCCAGTTGGAGATGAAAGATATTTCTAGTTCTTTAGCAATCAAAGTTCAGAAACAGTAAAACAAATAAAAAATATAGGCCTGGTAGACTATTTAGCTGCTGGAAACTAGCAAACCAGTTTCCTTTACTGGAGAGACTATATTTTCTCGGTGGTTTAACAAGTGATTTTCCCCTAACAATTGTTAACACATCACTTTAACCCAGGGAAATCTTGATCCAGCTGAAGTCCATCCACAGTTCTACACCTTCTTGGGCTGTGTGATTGTAAGCACTGCCATCACCAAGATGGCACATATTCAGCACATTAAATGCTCCTTTTTCTGCAGTGTTGCACAATCTACCCTGGACATTGTTTTTACGTTTATTGTAGGACTAATTTTTTCAATCTTCTATAAATTATATATCATTAGTTGCTTACTTGTCTTATCTGAAATCTTTGCCCAACCATACCTTCCCAGATTATAAACTCATTGAATATGAAGTTATCCTTCATATTTTAAAAATATCACTGAACGTGTTGCTTTTACAAAATAAATACTGAATAAAGTTTTTTTTTTTAATAAATGACAGTATACAAGCATAGGTAAATAAGTTAATAGGTGAATCTATTTATGTGTGTGTCCTTTATATGCCAAAAAAAGAGATTCAAAGAGACAGCTAATATGGATAGATATCGTTATGTCTACAATGGTAGCATTTCATACCAGTTAAATATTTTATTCCTAGCATGTTTGGTTTAAATCAAGTTATTACAGGAAGTTCCAAGAGAGCTATTGTTTTGGATTCTCACATAAGTTCCCAGGAAAAAGAAAGTACTTGCCATATGATTTAATAAGTCAAAAGTGTTAAATCATTTAACAGAATTCCTGACATATAACAAAGAACTAGACAAATCTTATTAAAATGAGTGATTCTGTGATCACTGCAGAACTAGTATACATGCATTCTTGTACTCATAATATAAAATAAATAAACACACAAACCATACCAGATATAGATTCTTTAAAATACAAATAATAGCAAACATTTTTTAAGGTCAATAAGTGTTATGCTAAACTGAACACATTTTGTAAAATTAGTTTTAAACGTTCAAGATCTAGACCTGAAGTTTCTACTTTGATCTGAAATTTGATTTCCTTATTGAACTTTTTTCTTTTCAGGAAAGCTGTGGATTATTGTAGTTGACCAATAAATGCTAATAGAAGTAATAATTAGGTTCTTCATCTATATATATATTATAGAAAACCACTTATCTTTTGACATCTCTCTACTTGCTGTTCAACTGTATATATCTGAATTCCACCTTCCAAACTTTCACTTTTAAGAGTAAATTATTTGACTCTAATTCAGATTATTTATTTTTTCTCCCTGCCTATTTTTTTATCTTTCATGCCAGATCCAGTGTACATCTGTTAGAAGATAGAACCAAGCAAGTTGCTTTATCCTGGGCTGAGCTCCTGAGGACACTTGAAATCACATGGAGCAGGAAAGAAAGCAGAATGAAATGCCCATCAAGAACAGAATTGTACTCAAGGATAATTGCAAAGGGTCAGTAAAGAAGAGGTACTGTAATGGTCAAGTTGAAGAGATCATTTTAGGCCACAAACAAAAAACAAATGAGAGGTAGAAAATATAAATGATGGAGTGACTTCAAGAAATGTAATTTGGTAATATTATGTTGCAGATCTTGAATATGTATATACAAACGAACAAAAAAAAGGAATCCTCAAAAAGTTACAATCTAACAAGGAAGTTACACAAACAATAAAAATGATTATATAAATTCAGAGCACAGTGAGAATACACAGCAAGAATCATTAAACATATTCTGGGGTCATTCGATAGAAACCTATTTAGGGAAATGACATATAAAATGAATTCTAACTATGCTCTTTAGCCCAAAGTCAGGTAGGTCCTCATAGGTACTTGACAATATTTATATTAATTTATAATTACATGATTGATGTATTTCCTAAAACAATTCATTAGAATGCTTCTACTTTACCCTAGAGTTTCCATCTTTCTCCTCACCCCGGATTCTTTGTGACAATTACCTGCCACAGGGAGAGCCTCTAGCAATGGCCCTTGAAGCCTTCTTTGTGATTTGATTGCTCTCAAGTCAAACATACTATCTTTATCTGTTTGTCCTTTTACTCCCCAGGTTCAGATTTGGCCTCTCCTTTTGTAGTCTAAGATGAAATTTTCTTTCCTACATTAATCAGGACCTTGTTCTATCTCTACCTACTCTTTCTGTTACATTTCCGATCTTTTTCTCTTCATTGACTTCCTCCCCTGCTCACATCATTTCTATGAAATCTGATGAACTTTCAAATTCCTTTCTTTCATGGGCTGACTTTTGAGAAAAGTAATAGAAGTTGCTGCCTTTGTTTATTATCAACTCTTCAGTAAATGGCTTGCTGCCTGACGTCTGAAGCTATTAGATTCTCCCCAAAGGCCAGCAATAACCTACTGATCATCAACCCTTGTCTGGATATCTGTTCTCAGTCTCAATCCTTGACCTAAGTAGCGTCTGTTTTCTGAGGTATCTTGATTTGAAACTCATTTCATCATGACTTGTACTCTACTAAGTTGTTTTGTTTTTACTTATTTCTATCTACTCAGTACTTATCTCTTTCATTGACTCAAAAGACCTGTGAGATAAGGGCAAGTTGTACCTAATTGCATGGTCCCATCTGTAAGGGAGTTAGCCTGACCATATTTACATATTTGAGCATCATTTTTTATATAGTGTTTAATAGTCACCAGGCTGAACTCCAAACACTAATACATTTAATCCTCACAAAAAACCCATGCAAATTAAAAAATAGAGAGACTAGTGGACTGAATGCTTAAGTGATCTGCTTAAGGAAAAACCAGCTATGTTTAGGAAGAGCACAGAACAATAATGTCAGTCTTTTACATATAATGCAAATGGGAAGAGAATTTCCTATTTTTATATTTACTTCCTTTTATAAAATTTACCATCTCATGGGTCATAAAAATATAAATAAATCTAACAAAGGTTTATTTTTACATATTATTTAATCGCAGTCATGGAAACAGAACTGTATCTGATTGTTCAGCAATATTTAAAATTTATTTCATAATGCATTTTTAGTCATTTTATCTTTAGAGAAATCTAAAATAATCACTGTAGATGTTCTTATATATTAGAATATTAGAAACCACTGAAAGTTCTGGTATTCAGGGTGGGTAGAATAGAAAAGTAATACCAAATGTTGCTTTATTAAGGTTTATTCCTACTTGGGTGTGTTACACATTTGCAGATGTACTAGGGAATGTTTTCCACTGTGTAATTAAGGCTAATTTCTGCTGATATGCCTTTGCCTAGATATGGATGAAATAATGCCACTGAAATCTAGTATCTCTCAATAGCCTTACTACTTATAATAAATGTTTTCATCTACTAGTTAAAACTTCTAAAATTATTTAATTATAACTTCATGAAGCATTACTCTATTAAAAAGAAATAGTTGAATGTGGCCAAATATTTCCTTGAAAGTACCAGAGCCAGAACAAGAAAAGGTCAAGTTCAAAAATTAGTAGATGCTAGATTAAAAAAGGAATGTAGGTTCAGATTAAAATCTTTCAGAAGAAACAAAAGGTTGTGCAGAGGGGGAATTCAGAAGAAGGAGGAATATGAAGTATGTGGTGTATAAGGGTAAAGAGGGGAGGGGGAAAAGATAGCACTGCATTGCAGGTAGCTTGTGATCGAGGTGAAATACCATGGAAAAATGATCAGCAAGTTCATAGCCTAAAAGACACGCATGACTACCAAAATCTAAAGAAGTATTTAGTTTGAACCAAGAGAGACTTCACTATGCAGTTTCTCATATATGTCTTAGTTGTTGTTTGTCTTGTTTTAGTTTTCAGTCATCTTGTTCTGACAACAGGTTGAACAGCATATTATACACCCTTTTTCACTGACTTACACTGATTACTACTCATATCAAGGATGATGTGTTACTTTGAATAATTCTCATTCTTTTAGTAAAGACAGTTATATATAAATTATGTAAGATTCCCTCTGGCCATAAATGCCATGAGGAGCAGCACTTCCCTTGTGAGTAGGAAGTACAGGAGAAATTAAATTAAAAAAAAAGATCAGCCCCTCTAGGTATGTTCACTGGAGACGCAGAGCATGCCGGGAAGATTGTTTCCTCCTCCTCTTACTTTAGAAGACCCTGCCAATACCACCTTGCTAATGAAGGTGATGGTGCGAAAGGCTAACATTTCTTGGCAACCTCAGAAATGAAATGATGCTTTTCTCCAAAGTTTAGCTGAGATTTTGAAATCCCCGTAGTCAGTAAATGATTCCAGTAACCAGTAAGCAACTAAGACCAAATTCTAACATTGATAGATAATAAGTATTTATTAATTTTATTTATGAGATTTGAATGAATTTCTGAGCATAATAATCTATTATTAATATTAAAATGGTTCATCAAATCTGTTAAAATTATACTAACAGTATTCTTAGAATTCTTACCATGAGAAATGTTAGCAAATGTCATCATTTTGTTTTTTTGACACAAAACCTAGTATCTTAAAATTTTGCTTGCTTTTAAACTGTTATAGGGACAAAGTTGAGCAAAATTTGCTTCAATAAAACTTGCATTTAAACTTTGATATTCCACAAATTGTTTTCTCTGGAGTCTGGTCATTGAATTTAATAAGTGTATTTGAGAAAAAATAATTATTAATCATATGTATAATGGAAAAAGATAATTAAATTTTTGGCATTTTAATAATACATATACAGAAATAAACATATTATGTCTAGAAGGAAAAGAGACTTGATGAGGTAAATATATGTGCACATTTGCATGTGTATGTGTGTGTGTTCTAGTGATACAAATTTTTTTGTTTCCAAAATGTTCCCAATTGCCAGACTGATAATACTCCCCATCTCACTAAAATTAGGAGCCAAACTATGTAACAATGCATATTACACCATTTTGTTATTTTTGTAAATGATTTCCAAAAATCAAGGTCTGCAATTCAGCTAAGCAAAACCAAAGATTCCAATCTGACTCTCTGTTTAGTCTACTATTCATCTTTGGGTCACGCACTTCAAGAACATATGTCAATTATTAGCTGAAAAACTACTGTATGCTAGAAATTTAGAGACTTTAAAAATATGGCAGAGCCTTTCTCTAGTTACTGTAACTAATTTTCAACAATAACACAAAGAGAAAGAAAACTTTACTATAATATTTCCAAAAAGAAAACTTGTGGTTACAAATCATCCATTTTCTGTTTTCTTTATTTGTCATTTTCCTTTCAAAAGAATCTGAATCAATTATGCCATAATTGTCATGACTCACGTGGCCTTCAATACAATTACTACAGTAAATTTGTGCCAAAACTACAGATTTCTCTGTAACATGTGGAGTGAGGATCCCTGCGGTCCTGAATACATGTCTGATGGCAGGCACCTGGAGTAGGTTGTGGGCATACATAGGTGGGTTGACCTGTGCTGAGACTGAGCTTGTAAGGACTGTGTCACAGGGACGCCAGCAGAGCAGAACGGAACTACCAGTAGAGGAAGCGAGAGATGGGAAGAGCACCAGCAGAGAAGCAGAGGCCATGAGAGAATGCCAGAGAACCCAGAAAGAGTGAAGATTCACTGGGAGCTAGGAGGCCTGCCAGCCTCCTGGCCCCCCAGGCACCCCTCCCTGCCATGTACTGGTAAAATGACAATAAAAGCCTGAAAAGCCTGGCTTCCCTGGTGGCACAAGGGGTTAAGCACTGCACTGTGAAGCAATCCACAGCCTCTGCAGCATGAGTCCGATCCCTGGCTGGCCAGGGAGAAACCCACAGAGCAAGGCAGACCTCTCCTGTCTTACCCGCTGCTCCCCTCAGCAGTGTATTTCAGTCAGTCTGCTGGTTCTGTTCCCCACTCTATCTGTGGTGAATCCTCTCAACACCCCCCCATACCTCTGGCCTGTACCCCAGCTCTTGTATGCATAAGTAAATAAATCTTAAAAAAAAAAAAAAAGCCTGAAAAGCCACTGAGAGCTCCAGGACTCCTCCTTTACCCAGTCTACTCTGGTCATAGAACACCTGCTCTGGGCCATCCTGCCCCTACAGTCAGGAAAAGGAGAGATGTGAAATTTTCATTGTATGGGTTCTGGTGATGCCTTTCAATGGGGTGTATGTTCCTTTGGAAGGGTGTGGGATGTGGGAGGAGGGGTGATTGGAGAGCTCTATATCACAAGGCTGTTCTCAGCTTTTGAGGAGCTTGTGCCCCTCAAAGTTCCAGCTTTGGAACTTATTCTATGGATGCCCCAAGTGCTTCCTACTGAGCCTACTGATTGACTCTGACAACAAGCAGATAGGGGTTGTAGATTCTGAGGAGGGAGATATAGGCTGAAAAGAACAGTAGGAATTAGTCCTCTCCACAATTTATATTTTGATTTCCTTGGAAAGATAGATTTTTTTTGGCTTTGTAAGACTGCCTTTTACGTCTATGTTCTACAAAACAACCTACGTGTTTTATAAAGCAACTTTTTGCTATGGACACATGCTGCTGCTTTACAAGAAAACTTTTGGCCACAACTTCAGTATCTGGGATGTTTTCACCGAGGGGCCAGGTGCTATTCAGGCAGGTACTACTACTTTGGGAATCAGAGCAAATGAGTTTTTGCTCATGGGCCTATTAAGGTTAAAAATGCAGTTCTTGATTTCTCCTTTTTCCTCGGTTTTCCTGTGCTCACTTCCCTCTGGCCTTCCATTCAGGGGGCCCAGCTTCTGGTCTTCACTATGCTGGATTGTTGGATTCTCGAGTTGGCGTATCAGGTATTATGCCCAGCCCAGCCCACAGTCCC